TGGGAGCCCCAGCACACAATGCATTTGGGAGCCCCAGCATACAATGCCAGTGGCCTTGCCTAGGATGTGCTTTTCCCTTCTGTCCCTGGCTACTCTTTCAGAAGTCTCAAAAGAAACCACAATGGATTCCTCTTCCAGCCAAGAGTTCCTACCACATTCTATTCTAGGCTGTGATTGTTAGACTCTAAGATCCAAACCAGGGGACATGTTCCCACAGAAACACACATGGACAGGATTCGCTGCAATAACATGAGGTTTATTGATGGTAAGATGATAATAAGAACCAGTGCACTGGGGTTCCCGTGTATGAGCCAAAGTTGGGAACAGTTTTTATACAGAGTTCACGAGAGAATCCACAAAAACTGACCTTCCCAGGTCCGGTCTCTAGGTGACTCAGATTATGACAATGAGTGTCCAGTTTGCCCAGGTTTATTACGTTAAGGGCCCAGCTTCCTGAGTACCTCTCATCTTAGTTCTCCTGGAATGTGTCTACATGCTCTGGGCCTTCCTCACCCGCAGGTGGGTTCCCTCCCCTGTTAATCACCCTCTCCCTTCTTCCTTTGAATGTTAATCTAGCAAGCGTCCTCTGACAAAGGACTGTGCCCCTCCCAGGATGTGTCCAGGAACAGTGGGATTCTTTCCATTTTAAGTTCAAACTGAGACCTGAAAGTCTTACATGATCATCATGTACAACTAACTGTTTAGTTCCCAGCCTTCACACTAGCCAGTGAACACCATGAAAACGGACACTGTTCTTTCTCCAGCTCCTAATAGAGAATCTAGCATATGCTAGGTTGGCAAGTGATACCTATGGAATTGAATGTAAGTACCAGCAGTGCCTTGAGGAAGCAAATGCCCTGCCACCAATCATATCCCTCCTCTGCTCAGGTCTCTGATAATAGCGTGCCATCACTCTTGGTTAGCAATAGGCCCCACTCTGCATCTGAGATTCCACCTTGGATCCTGTTGCGGGAACAGCTTCCCCCTCTGCTGCCATCCAAGTTCCCCCTCTATGTCCAGCACCAACCGAGCACCAGAGCTCCAGAATCTCACCACATGGCTTGCTAAGTTCCCACTGGTGGGTCACTACCATGCCATCCCATGCTTCAAACCCCCACGAAACCCACTCTCAGCTGCTGTACCTTTCTCTCTTGAACTCGGTTGAATCATCGTGAAGAGAAACACCACGCAACTTAGCTCAGAAACAATGGTAACTCAATCTCTGGGGGCAACAACTAAAACCTAATTTTGTAAACTTATAAATCTGATTCCTCCAGTGGCGGATCTTTGTGGAGCCTCCATGAAACCAGGAAACTCTAGGAGATACATCACGCCCATGTGCGATCACAGTTCCAAAAGAATGTAACTCTCCTCTCCTCCTCTTCCTCCATCCAACCTGGAAGTCCCGCCTCCTACTCGCCCAGTGATTGGCTCCTTTATTCATAAGAGGATGGTTCACAAGAATTCCTTGAGTTCAGGACTCATTCCTTGTCCGAATCTCCTCTGTGGAGAGTGGAATTAACATCAGAATTCAAAATACCAGGGCTATCTACAAAGGATCCAGCACATCTGTCATAACCATCAGCTCTTCAGTCTGTCTTTAAACTCCAAGGATGGAGTGTCACTCACTGAAGTGACCACACAGTGACCTCAGGCAGTACCTGTGGGTTTGTTTCATATCAGTGCTCGCAACACCCATGAGAAGCAGCTGCTGCCTCCTTTGTCTGGTTCCATGATAACCACAAGATACTGGTAAAGTGAACTGAGATTTCCTGGCTCACTTCACCCCCTCATTTCCGTGCCTCCTACTCCTCTAATCCACCCACCTGATTGGATGAATTGTCCAACAACAATCTGGTACACAAAGCATGGAAGTCACAATTTCCCCGGTAACTCCTTTTTAAAATAGAAATGGGTAGAATTCATGTTAATTATGTATATTAGGAATTGCACAGTAGGTTAACTATGGATGTGAAGACAATGAATATTACAAAACAGCTAGTACAGAGGATTTGAAATATCCTCAGTCCAAAGAAATAATTACTACCTGAGCTGATAGACATGAGACATGACATCACACTCTGAGCCCATGTATTGACATGCTCTGTGAATATGAACAATCCTTATGTCAATCAAAAGTTTTAAATACGTGCCAAATGTCAAAATATATCTTATTTAACCCAGCTCCTCAGAGCATTATCATTTTAGTGTGCAATTGATATTTTTGTAAAGTACTGGCAAGCTATTTCACATTTTTGGTTTTGTACTAAGACTTCAAATTGCAGTCTGGGACCTGGAGAGATGGCTCAGTATTTTAAGAGCACTGGCTGCTCTTACAAAGGACCCAGGGTCAATTCCCAGCACCCACATGGCAGCTTACAATTGTTTGTAACTTCAGTTCCAGGGGGGATTTGATACTCTTTTCTGGCCTCTGTTGGTAACACACCACACACAGACACACATACACAAACACACAAACCACACACACAGAGAGACACACATATCACACACAGAGAGAGACACATACACACAGAGACACATATACACATACACACACACAGACACAGACACACATACACACACAAAACACACACACAAAGAGACACACACACACACAGAGACACACACAGACACACAGACACACATACACACACACACAAACCTCACACACACACACACACACATACCACACAGACACACAGTGCATATATGCACATACATACAAGCAAGCAACCATACACATAAAATAAAAATAAATCTTTTATAAAAATTTAAAAAACAGAATCCAGTGTGTGTGTGTGTGTGTGTGTGTGTGTGTGTGTGTGTGTGTAACATGTATATGTATATCATTTTTTTGAGACAAGGTCTCTCTTTGTAACTCTGGCTATCCTGGAACTTGCTCTGTAGCCCAAGCTGGCCTCCAACTCAGAGCTTTGCCTGTCTCTGCCTGTCAAGTGCTAGGATTAAAGGCACAACCATGGCCAGCTTATACTTTGTATTTTAATTTGGCACTTTTGTTTCCTTTTGTGACAGGGTCTCATGTTGTTCAGGCTGACCTCCACCTCACTTTGTTGGCAAGGATGGCCTTAAGCTCGTGGTCTTCCTGCTTCTACTTCTGGAGAGCTGAGATTCCAGGGGTACAATGCCTAGCTAGTGTTTTACATTTATAGCACATGCCACTTTGGTCTAACCTCATTTCAAGCTCTCAGTGGCCACAGGAAGCTGGTAGTTGACACTGCTTTGGAGGTTAAGTCCTATAAATAACAACAGTAACTGCCAGTATTACTTTATGCTTACAACGTTGCTGTGTGCTTGCAGCTTGCCTCCTACACAAGGCTTTGTGTATTCATCAGACTTAATCTTTGTAGCAATCCCTCCACCCGGGGAATATTCCAAAATCCATACTCTAGATGAAGAAACAGTCTCACAGACTAAGAACTCACCTTCGATTGCTACATCCAGACTCTGGGCTCATGTCTTCTTGCTTCTCAACATTGCTAATCAATCAGCAGACTTAGAGAACTTGGTAACTCTAGGTTTCCAAGGACACACTGAGAACACATATATTGTCTGAATGTATCATGAACAACATAATCAAACAGGTTTACATTTTGATTTCATTTGGCTTTTCCAGGGTACACTCCAGCCAAGCACTCTGCCCCTGGTCTGCACAGCCAGCTCAGTAAATTCATGGGTTTTTTGAGAGTCATCACAGAGGATAAGCATACCCTTTCAGAAAACCCCCTCCCCTCTCTGCTCCTTTTCTGTCTCTGATCCTTTTCTCCCTCTCTCCCCTCCCCACTTCCCCCCCCCCAACATGTTCCTGGCTCGGCATCTTCCTCCCTCTCTTTCTCTCCCTCTCACTCTCTTTCTCTCCCTGTCTCCTCTCTTTCTCTTTCTCTGCCTCTATTCCCTTCTCCCTTCTCAACTCTCCTTCTTATGGCCCCAAATAAACTCTATTCTATACTAAAAAGAAGGAAGGAAGGAAGGAAGGAAGGAAGGAAGGAAGGAAGGGAGGGAGGGAGGGAGGGAGGGAGGGAGGGAGGGAGGGAGGGAGGGAGGAAGGGAGGAAGGGAGGAAGGGAGGAAGGGAGGAAGGGAGGGAGGGAGAAAGAAGCCCACCCCCTATACCAGCACAAGGTTAGGTGACTGTCAAGCTGTAGAGAAGGCTGTGTTTATTACGTTCCCAAGCTTTGAGAGCTTCATGAAGGATTAGGTTAGGGAAAGTTGGGTTTCTCCAGAGTTGACCGTTAAAATCAAGCTGCTTTCCTTCTTTCCCTTTGTCCCTCCCTCTTAAACCAGCCCAGCTGAGGTGGGGAGGTGGGGCTGTTTTCTCCTTCTCCTCCTCTGAGGCTTTAGTAGGAGACCTGTCCTTCTGGCATCGAAAGGAAGGAGTAGGCTAGCACCTTAAAGGTGCTTGCTGAGCAAATACAATCTCCCAGCGATTGTTCTGGATAATTGAGGCCTCACTACTGTCTCTGATGAAGGAGAATGAGAGCCCCACCTCAGCCCAGTTTCAGGCAAGCATTTTTAAAGGCAAGAAGAGTGTGTCTAGCCTGGTACACATTTGATTAGGAAGGCGGAGAGCATTACGACCTTTAACACAATTAGCTGGTGTTAGGATCCAAATCATAAACTTAACTTCTGCATTCCTCCTGATTGCTGGTTGTTAGGAAATGAAGTGTTAGGGGCAGGCTTGTAACCTGGGGGTGCAGATTTGTTGGGTAATAACCTGGAAACTGGTGTTAGACGCAGGACTTATTTGGGAGGGTTGGCGAGGGGTGACCTGGAAACTAATGCTAGGTACTGGCCTGTTAGTTAATTTGAGTTCAAGCTTAGGTCATGATCTCTAAGATGGTGTCTGAACCCAAAAGACTTGGTCTCTCAGCAACCATGCCTTTCTTTCAAAGTTGTTATGACAACCACCTTGCTATGAGCACCTTGGAACCACATCTTTCTTTCAGGAGGTTCTTATAACCAACTTGTTGAGCTTGTGTTCTGCCTCCGTGACCTCTACTTATTTGTCTGCCAAATCCCCCCATTTGGAAAGCCCCTACTTCTTAGGTATAGAAACCTTATCTTCCCCACTCCCAATGTTGATCTCTTGAACCCTTCAGTCTATGTTCACAAATAAAGGTTGCTTTATTTAACGTGACCATGATTTGGGTCTATAGTCTTCTCAGATCTGTGGGATTAACAGTCTCAAATCTTACATGATTTTCATTGCTTGATTTAGGTAAGAGGCACACCATCTTATATCACAACTTTTACTCAATTTCTTACATTTGCATTAATTTTCCAACATGGTTGCTAGACTTCCCTACACTGTTAAAAATATTTTTCTTAAGATTTCTTTATTTTATTGATCAGTATACTGTAGATACTCTTCAGACACACCAGAAGAGGGCATCAGATCACCTTTTCAATGGTTGTGAGCCACCATGTGGTTTCTGGGAATTGAACTCAGGACCTCTGGAAGTGCAGTCAGTGCTCTTAACTGCTAAGCCATCCTTCCAGCCCCCTTCCCTAGCCTTTTTTTAAAAGAGTCTTTAAAATCCTGATTGTGACAACACTTACTTTGGTTAGAGAAGAGTAGCAGCTCAGTCTTCCTGGATTTGGAGGCTCCTGGGAGACACACCTGCGAAAGTATGGTAGAAGCTTTCCAGGGAGGGTTAGCTGAAGAGAGGAGAACCACTCTCAATGTGCAAAGCAGCAGCTCACGAACTGGAATCCTATAGAAAATAAAAAAGGGGGAAAGGACAATCAGGAGGCTGGGCATTCCTCTCTCTGCCTCCTGACTGTGGACTGTGGACATAAGGCCACCGTTACCTCCAGCCTCTGCTGCCTCCAGCTAAGTCTGGTGTTGCCAAGTCTCCCAGGATGAATGAAAAGAAACCCTTTCTTCCCTAAATTGGTTTATGTCAGGTATTTCATCAGGAAAGCAACTGATGCCAAAGTATAATAAGCCACCCTGGTGAATTCTTTTCCTCTGAAGCAGTAGTTCTCAACCTTCCTGATGCTGTGACCCTTTAATACAGTTCTTCATGTTGTGGTTGTATGACACCTCCCCCAACCATAAAGTTATTTTCGTTGCTACTTCATAACTGTAATTTTGCCACTGTTATGAACTATAATGTACACAACTGATATGCAAGATATCTGATACCGAAATCCACAGGTTGAGAATCGCTGCCCTAATGCTTCAGGTAAGAAAAGCTCACTGTAGTTTTAGTCTCTGTTCTTGTGTTTATGATTCAAGGATAAGTGGAAGATGCAGATACATACGCTATCTAAAAAATAATTCTTGGCATTTCCCTTTCGTACCACTAAGAACTTGTGGGAAAAAAAAGGAGCTGGGGAGAGGTAAGCAAACATCTGTAATTTACCCGCGAAGCCAATGCCCTGTAGTTCTCAAACTCAGCCAGGAGATGGCAGTAGTAATCAACGACAAAATCCTGTTGCTCGGCCTCCAGCAGCTTCTCATTGTCCTGTGGACATTTCCTGCATCTAATCTGATGCTTATGAAAACTATTTCCTCCTTTCAAAAGCACAAGCCCAAACAGAAACTAACCTCACCCTACAGATAAAGGATGTTTGTGCCTTCCCTGTTGTCAGAATCCTCCCAGCTATGGCTTGACTGTCAAGTATTTTCCCAGCAGCTACACGTTCCGTCCAGGAAGCAAAGCAAGAAAAGAAGCTGAACTTCCTCTGGGCTGGTGGGAAGGTGTGCCTACGGGCAGCACCCATCCAGTCACAACAGAGATCCCAACTCCGGGAAGTGAAGCGGGTGGAAGGACACTGCAGTGAATAACTTTTTGCTTTGAGAGCGACTTTCCCAAGACCTGAGCAGCTCAATCCAGACACTTGCCCAGATGCAGCATCCAGCTGTGTTTGCGCATGCAAACACAGGTTTCATGGCGTCCTTCCTGAGAGATGGCGTTTAAATGGCTATGGCAAACTGACACACTGCAGAACAGCTGCATGGAAGCTCAGACAGGGAAGGTTTAGAGAAGCCACAGTGAAGTGTCCAGACAGAATTAAAAGTTAAGCGTTGGGGTGGAGGATCACATAATTAAATTAACTTAGGAGTGATAATAGAAAGAAAAGCGAGAAAGTCTCTATCCTCCAGTCTCAGCACTAGCTCATTCTTAGAGAGTCTCTGAGAGTATCATGAAGAACGTTGAGGAAAGTCTAGAATATGCTCCTCCAGCTCCTTTCTCTACTGCAGGCAGGAAGCAGCTGGAGCACCAGAGGGACTTGGCTTTGGGATTTGGTAAAGCAGTAAAAGCTCGGAAACTCCATTTCCTCATTTCCTTGCATGTTAATTAGAGATGGCAGTCCTGAACTGGCAAATCATCAGGAGGCAGAGCAAACTGGCCACCAAAGGATGTTCAAGCCAGATAGTTAGAACATAGATGACTGCACTTTTAATTTTGAAAATCAGACTTACAGAAATATTTTTAGTAATTATACAAAGAAGTCCTATATACCTTTCCGAGGTTCTCAAAACGTTAAGACGAAAGCAAGATGCAATGATCAAAATCAGAAAATAACATTTATATAGAACTATTACCTAACTTTCAAACCTCATTTAAATTTTACTTAGTGTCCTTTTCTGGCTCAGGATGAAACAATGAATCTATTGTCTGTGTCTCTCAAGTTCTCTTAAACTTGAAAGCTGCTGGATCCTTTGTGCTCAGTGACCTTGACACTTCCCAAGAGTGCTACCAATCTTTGTGTGAACTACATCCTGGTTTGGGTGTGCTTGAGGCTTTCTCTTGACTAAATTGAAGTCAGACTGTTGTGGCAGGAGTCGACAGGAATGAGGTTCCTGCACACTGTATTGGAAGGCTCTTGCTGCTGCCTTATCCATCACTAGTGATCATTTTGGCCTCTTGTTTAGGATGGTGGCCAGCAGGGTCCTCTGCCATAATGTTACAAACTGTGTAAGTATTTGATCCTCAGCATACCTTTGCTCTCTAATTTTTGCATATTCATAATCCCTACCTATAATAGTTACTACCACGGTATTTACCAAATGGCATTTTAATTGTTGTTGCTACACAGATTTGTACTTGAAAAATACATTCTATTGATTCTGGGATGTGTTTGGGAGTAGGGTGCGTGTGTCCATGTGTGCATGTGTCTGAGGTGTGTGTGTGTGTGTGTGTGTGTGTGTATGCCCGTGTCTGGTGTGTGTGTGTATGTATCTGGGGTGTATGTGTGTGTGCCTGTATCTGGTGTGTGTGTGTGTGTGTGTGTGCATGTGTGCATGTGTCTGGGGGCGTGTGTGTGCATGTGTCTGAGGTGTATGTGTGTGTGTGTGTGTGTGTGTGTGTGTGTATGTATGCCCCTGTCTGGTGTGTGTGTGCGCATGTGTCTGGGGTGTATGTGCATGTGTGTGTGTGTGTGCGCGCGCGCACGAGTGCGCAAATGTGTGTGTATCTCACTGGGAATCAGTCCCCAGGCTTTGCAGGCAAATAGGCTCCCACCAAGCTATGTCCCCAGATTTTCTGATTTCTTTATAAAATATGTGGAGAATATTATGCCTTCCAGAATTTTTAACTCACTTCCATTTTGTGTTTTTATTATTTTACATAATGTTTTATTTTGTGTCTTAATAGGTCTTATAGGACATTGAGATTATCCAAATTGTAGTGCTAGTTTGAAAACTTACTGGGCACTCCTTTAAGCCCTAAATCTTATTTCATCACATACATACATACATACATACATACATACATACATACATACATACATAGAGAGAGAGAGAGAGAGGGAGAGAGGGAGAGAGGGAGAGAGAGAGAGAGAGAGAATCCCTCCCCTAGCCCAGAATCAACTACCATCCGATACTGGAGCCCTCCCCCACCCTACACACCCACCAGACTTGCTAAGACTTCTTTGCTTTAACCAAGAATGTCTGAGACCCTCTTCTCTCTGCATGAAAATACATCAGAGCACCCCTGGAGAGCTTCTCAAATTCTGCTGGGGGTGGAGGGTGTTGATTCCAGTCTCCCCTGAGCAAGCCTTTCTTCCTTTTCTTGTAATCGGAGAAAAGTCACCTGCTGACTTAAATAAGCATCACTAAGGAGTGTTGATTTCCACAGCACCAGAAGCCTCAGGTTTAAGGAAAGGATTGAAATAACACTAACCCTCAGGCAGGAAGAAGGGCCTGCCCAGATCAGAGAGGAGGTAAAAACTTACAGAAGCCACCAAATGAAAAACCACTGGTGATGAACACCGATTTCACAACCTATTACCCTGGGGAATGATCTTTAACCAGTCCAGGGTGTCATTTGCAAGTGAACTAGGTATACTATTTAGCAAGCTCTGCTGTGGGACAACCTGGCTCTTACCATGAAGTCTCACGGGAACTTGTACTGTTTTCCAAAGCCAGATAAGAGTGTATCTGCCTTCACAGGCTCCACGAGGCGGGAACAGCAGCTTAGCTGTCCGGGTACAAACTGGATTTCTTTAATAACATCTGTGGGAGTCTGGCCTTCTGCACCTTGCACTCTGAAGTAGGTGTAGAATGTGTGTTTTTAGAACAACGAGGCACAGAGTGAGTGTGATCCCAGGACACACACACCCCTCAAAAGCCTAGGGAAAAGAGTCCCTGTGCTAGCAGGAGAGCATTGTGCTTCTGGGGAAACTGAGCCGCGTGCAGAGTGACTTGAGCACTGACGAGGAACGGAGGGACAAGAGGGACGATTCAGAGAAGCCCAATCTAATGCTGAGGACCACGTGATGCTGTGTGAAAGGGGTTTGGTGTGTACTCATGATACATCACACTGGCTTTCACAGAAACACCTCCACATAGGTATGCAATGTACTTTGACCAAGTTCCCCGCATACCACGTTGTCTTTCCCTTTCCCTCCTCCCTCCCACTGGTCCCCTTCTTAGCCCCACTTCATGTGATACATACATTCACAGTTGTGTCTATTGCTGTAAAATCTAGGATCCACAAAGGAGAACACCTGTAATATTTGTCTTTCTGGACATAACTACATTTGCACCCCTCACTGATCTCCACTTACAAGCATTTTCTTGAAAACAAGGTCTTTTTATTCTTCTATATGGCTGAATAATACCCTTAGAGTAGAGCCACCAGGCCAGGAAAAAAACCCCAACAAGATTAACACTTTTCTCCTCAAGGCATGCAGCATTGACTGCCAAGACCCAGACCAGAAGCTATAGAGGCCTCCCGAAAGCAGAGAGAATTGACGGGAGGAAGGGTGTGGGACCCATGGGTGTGAAAGATGAAACTCATGACTTCAGCCATGAGAGCCAGGATGTCACAGGGAGCAGGAGAGGAGATGCTCGAACAAGAAGCCCCAGGTGCCACATCCCAGGTCAGAAAGTATCTTTTAAGGCGGTCTCGGCTTTAAAGCCATTTCCCCAAAACCAGAGGCTCTCTGCATCCTGACTTCTTGAACTTGAGTTCCCTTGGAGCCCAGATAATACGACTAGCCCAGAGACAGCAGTGACAACTCAGTGGCTGTCCTCAGAACTAACAGTGCAGATCAAAGGAGAAGATCTTTCCTTTGGGGAATATCTGTTGTCCGCTGGATTATGGCAGAAGCCAAAGTTTTATCATAAGGGCAGCAGGTACTGATGTTTCTTTAGGCTCAGGTTTAACCTGCATGGGAGTTAAGGCTTGTGGGAAGAAGGTCCTGGTGAAAATACTG